ATAATACCCAAACTTTTTCAAGTGTGTATGTATTTCTGGAACAAAAGTAAGCCTCCAATTGCACTTAATTTACTAAATAATATTGTTTATAAAGTGTTTTTTTCTTAAAAAATTAAAATGTGCTTGTATAAATTATCTCCAAAAATTCAATCAAGTTGTTCTCTGGTCTAGAGTGGTTCTTATGAAAGAATTACTATTAGAGTCATGCACAACCATTCTATGAGAGTCAAAGGAATTCTATATTCAACCCATTTGATTCCTGGTCCTGGATAGAAACTACAGAGAAAAATGCCCTGTTTACTTAACTTCTGGAGGCATCCCATGACCCCGGCTGGAAAATGATGGATCCTTGAGGATAAATAGCAGGAAGGATGATAAATGTACATAAAATTACACATGGAGTCAAGAAAATGGATCTTTCCCCTCATCTCTAATAATACTAGAATAGTAACATTTAATGAACATGAATGGCAAGTCAAACAAAAGTAGCACAGAACACATGATTCGAGTTAGAATTCATTTAATTAATATATAATAATGGCTACCAGCTTGGATATCCTTAACAGCAAACTAGGCAGATTCACAAATACCAAGATTATAAACTAATTGGGGGTAATATGCTAGGATTGAAGAGTCCCCAGCAAACGTTCTCAGGCCCCTCCAATTACTGTTAACGCTCCATAGAAGGAAGAGACATGGGTATCAGATTTGAACCCCAGGAGCTTTTAGCCAGGGTTAAAATTATGTGAACATCTATATGGTTTTTCTAAGAACATAAGCAGGGAATCTTTGAATAACAACTTCTAGGACTGTGATGGCGACCTATGACACCTGGGCCAGAGATGGTACGCGAGCCATCGCCCTAGCTGCCATGCATGCGCACGTGGATCCCACCAGCCAGCTGGTCTTTGGGTCTCTGACATTAATGCACAGGGGATGGGGCACATGCACGGGGGATGCGAGCATATTGCATTTTGGGAAGGCACGTCTGTGCACGCTTTGAGCATTCAGTACCAAAAAGGTTAGCCATCACTGTTCTAGGAGAAAAGATGGTTGCTCTCATTCTTGGGTGATTCCTAGCTAATTGGCCACTTTGGGAAAGTAGCCATCTCCTTATCCAGTGCTTTCTGGATTACACTTATAGTTTGGTTTGCATACACCATCCATTCAGATAGTATAAAAATACAGCCCCCTTTGTTCCAAACATATGCAGCTTCCCTGTAGTTTTTCCATAACTTGGTTTCCTGCTGTGTTTTTTTTTTTTTGCATTAACAGATGAACTGAGAGTGCTTTCTGAATCTTAGGAATCAGGTTTGTCTTATCTCAGTGCTGTAATTATCACTCAATTGTTTAGAGCTATCCAGATGTCATACCTGTTCTTCCATAATATGTTATGGGTGAAGATTTATTTTGTTGGTGGAAATACCCTATAAAGCCCACTAACTATTCTTTTCTGAATTCCAGGAGTTTAAACAAAATGTAGCACCAAGCATTCTTTTTCAGTGACAACAGGTTTTAATATGAATTTCAACACTTATAAAAGGACCCTCTACAATCAAGTCAACTACTAGTTTTCCCAAAGGCTATTTTGTTCTGAGAAATTGAAATACTCCTATCTCAAAATCAGATTGCTGACAAGTTCAACAGCAAAACAATCTTTCCCTCTCCATGGATTGGCAACGAATGTGAAAAGAAGTATTAACCAGGATGTTTGACTATCATTGCTTAGGTAGATCTGTATTTGGAGAGAGTACATCACATTATTGGGTTCCCATCCCAAGCAGTTAAAAAGTAATTTCCCCTATATTTTAATTACAGATACTATTTTCTAATTTAGCATTTCTATCCTCTATCCTTTTGCTTTGCAGAAGTATTAGACTATAATTCCCAGAAATTCTATTAGCATATTGGCTGAAAATGCTGAAAGTTGCAATCCCAAGTTGTAGGGATGTGATTATTCAGAGGGCTGCTCTATTGCTAGCAGGACAGCAAATTAAGTTACTCCATATTCATCACACAGATTTTTGCCTCGGAGGAAAAAAAATGCCTTTGAATGATGTAGAGGGAGAAGTGCTTTGTTTTCATTCATGGCAGCTAAAAATGGGAATCGCTGGACCATATATAAGGGCATCTCCATAGAACTATAGTCCCAGTCTGTTTTTCTTAAATGCTGTAAGTGGCAGTGTTGTGGCATTCATGTTAAAAAAAAAAAGGGGGGGGCAAAGTTGAAAACTTTTTGTTCTGTGTAAAATAATATGTTGAAATGGGCAGGTGAGGGAGATTGAGAGGGAGCGCTGCAGCAAAGTAATAACAGGTTTGGCTTATGATTGCTGATTACCTCAATTGTCCCACTTTGAGAAAAGTGACATGACCTTGGGCCAGAAAAGTTGAATTTAACTATCCTTTACACCTGATTGTTTCTGAGCAACTGTGTCAATTACACAGATTCTGATAACTTGCTGATTGGCTCAACAATCAATTTTTCAGAAAAACAGTTATTCTTTTCTTCTTCAAATTTCTGACAATCAGTTTTACACATTCAGGAAAGGATAATTTACAACCAATCTTTTGCTCTGCATAAAACCCCATTGAGAATTGAGGGTCTGTGAACTGCAAATTTCAAAGCTTCCTTGCTTAGTCAATGCACATTTTTTAAAGGAACATATTCCAGGAACATGAACATGAAATTGCTATGCAGCAATTTCAACCAAAAGTTCAATCATTCTCAGAACTTGGATAATAGCTTTTGAAAGAATTCAGGAGAGTTGAACTAATGTTCACTATGTATAGAAAACAGATTGAAAGTTGCATTCCTAATTGTTGCAGCCTAACTTATGCTATTATACACAAACCCAGTTTTTGGTTTTACAAGAAGATTTTGTTAATATAGGGTTGTCCTCAACTTATGATGAATTTTTGTTGTAAAGTGAGAAATATGTTGAGTTTTGCCCCATGTTAGGCCTTTTTTGCCACATTTGTTAAGTTGCAATTCTTAAATTAATAATGGTTAAATGAATCTGGTTTGTTGTTAAGTGAATCTGGTTTGTCATTGACTTTGCTTGTCAGAAGGTTGCACAATGGGGTCACATGACTCCAGGACATTGCAACCATCATAAATGTGAATTGGTTGTCAAGCATCCAAGTCACGTGACCATGGGGGTGCTGCAATGGTCATAAGTGTGAAAAACAGTCGTAAGTCTTTTTTTCAGCGCTCCTGTAACTTTGAATCATAACTAAATGAACTGTTGTAAGTCGAGGACTGCCTGTAATTATGGATATGAAAATGAACATTGACTTTTTAATGATTCTACAAGAATTATTAAAATAAGGGAGAATAATCTGCTTTTAGTGATTTATGAACATACATTTCTCAACATCTACAAATGAAAAAAAAAAGCTCATTCAACTCTATGCTCTTTGCTGACAATACCCATATCTCCTGCTTTTCAAATTAATCCTTTTTTACAATCCAGGCATCATCTCTCCAAAGATATCTTTTGTTATTCAAAATAATGTTCAAGCAAACTGGCACAATAAGTATTTAAATTATTGATTATAATAGAGCAAGTACCATTTCTGGTTGATCCTAAAAAGGTAATACCCACATATCTATGAATTTACACAAAATGACACACAAAAGAGCAGGAGCTATTCTCCAGCTTCAAATAGAGAACTATAGATCATACATTGCTCTGCCACCATCTTCTATACTAGAGAGCTGATCATTCATTTCAGGATACTTAAAATAAAGCAAACTTCTTTCTGGTGGCAGGCACATGATTATTGTAAAGCTTTGGAGCAAACTAATAGGATAAGAGTAAGTTAGTAGTTGATTAAAAAAAAACCGTGAAGCTATCCGGTACAAAGTTCAGTTGTGGTTCTCAAAGGAGTTTATTTTCTATGTTTTTAATGTGGCTTGCCAAGGATTTGTTTTGTCACATCTAAACTTAAGTGCTCAGAATGCTGTCTCCTTAGAGACAAAATCCAACAAGAACCTGAAAATACCAAATCCAGACACCACCACCCCTTTCAAATATGGCCAGGCTTTTTCAATCCAGTTTTCTCCATTGTGTTGGGATTACAATTCCCTTGAAATCTCAGCCACCATGATGAAGGCAGAGAACGACTATGCAGTCTCAAGACAGCCAGATGAGCCAAGAAGGCTGCTTTAGGAACATAGCTGTGACAGCAGCATCCGAGATGAAGCGCTGCTCTGTAGAATTTGGACAGGGTAACCTCTTGGGGGAGGGAGGGAGGGGGGAGGACATTATTCCCAGAACTGGGTGGTGGTGACAATGGGTAATGTAGTTCAACTTCATTTAGGCACTCAAGGTTACAAAAGGGCAGTGGGGAACCGGCTGTTTTACACTAACATCAATTAAGAAAACAGGAAAAAAGGGAAGAGCTATCTTTTCATGAAGCGGGTCTGTGGTCTACAACAGACATATATTTCTGGAAACATTAGGAAAGATTTAAGCTCCATGGGGAACTGGAGGCAACGTAAGAACACACACCTCTCCAGATAAATGAACTACGGGAGCTGTTCTCACTTCTCTCTCCTCCCTTCATAGTCACATCCTCCCTCTAACTTAGATAGGGATTCTAACAAGACAGAATATGGGTCTGTTGAATTCTGTTCCTATTCATTCGACTATTTTATTCCCGTCACAGATTTTCAGCACGAGAACAGCATTTCATGTCGTTTTAATCAGAGAGAAATGTGGCACAAGAAGTGTTAATGATAACATATAACCCACCCACAGAAGTCTCAAACATTATCACATTACAAGTCATGGATACTTCAAAGCGGTCTACATCGACTATCTCCCTGTTCTGCACAAAATACCTTTTCCCCTTGTTAGGCTACCTCGCCGTCGATATCCGTTTGATGTTAAAGACCCCCGTCCAATCTAACACAATGATGAAGGGGAAAGGAAGGTGAAGTTAAAAATTGGCTTTTGCCTCGGTAGAAGGTTGAGCCGGGCTTCCGAGAGACTTACCAGAACAAGTCCGAATCGTTCTTCCAATTCCTCAGCGTTGGGCATAGGTAGTTTGGGGGGTGCAGGCTGTTTGGGAGGTAGAGGCGAAGAAGCAGTAGGTTGGGTTTTAATCTCCTTCGCTGGAGACATTTCCATGCTGCTGGCTGCATTGCCCATTCTCAGATTTTTAAGGTTACAAAATACAATTTGGAAAAAGCTTGCGAGTTGAAAATTCCCCCGGTTTTCCCCTGAAGCAGAAAACAGTTCAAGGGGAGGAAGAATTTCCTATAAGAAAAATCACACCCATAAAAAACAGGCGGGAAAAAGGTGGCCGGTGTTCCAGAAACTCCCTACACGTGCTTAAAAAATCTTCAAAGGCAAAAAGGAGCCGTGATGGTTGTCCATGACTTTGCTCTGGCGTTTGGAGTTACCGGAAACAGGAGAAATAACGGCCGCGGCGGATTAGAGGCAACGTCGCCCAACGAGGTGACCGCTGAGCTCTGCTCCTTTGGGGCCACCACCAGGCAGGAGAGCGCTGCCTCGCGCTTTCCTACATTCAAACTGATGGGTTCAATTTCCACGCGAAGGTAGCAATGCAACTTTTTTTCAGAAAAAAAGGAGGTGCATCCTCTGATCCGCTGCAAGCGGCGGAGAGAGACAGCGCGTGGTCGCTCTTGAGAAGGCGAGAAGTGACGAGCTTAACTTCCCCCTCGCCTCCACCCCCAAAAGAGGAAGGACCGAAAACGAGAGCACAGGAAGTCACAGTGCAGGTGTTTGGCTTGGAATAATAGTGCACCGAGAATAAGCTAGCGGCAACTTTTTCTACACCGCTGCGCTGCAGGTCCTCTTCTCTAGAGGTCGCAGGCGAAAACGTTAAATCTCTCCTCCGGTGGCTTCGTCCATTGGCACTGAAGGTCCGCGTTGGGCTGAAAGGCAGAAAGCAGCCGCAGAGGGAGCGCGCGGATTTTGCAAAGACAGGGATGGGTAGATGGGGAAAGCAAGGGAAGAGAGCCGAGAGGGTCGACGCAGCTTGCCCATTCCCCCCCAGGCAGGAGCCTTGGCCTGGAAGGGAAAAGGAGACGCCTGGGAGAAAAAGGACGGTGACGAAATAGCAGAGTCACCTGCTAGTGGAATGAGGGTCTCCGGCAGCAATAGCAATCGAGACAAGGGACGGGAGGAGAGCTCCCTGGGTCTCAAAGCCCATGGATTCCCGTTCGGAGAGTATTATTAGCTTCTTCTTAATTCCTTTTCAAATTGGGTAGGACAAGATTCAGAATTTTTGTTAGGACTGCAGGTTTTGAAAGCCAGGCTCTTTACCCTAGTCGGCGCCTTCCAGATGTGCTGGACTACAACTCCTATTATCCTCAGTCGGCAAAAGTGAGGGTGGGGGGCGCACAGGTGGAGGAAGGCTGTCTCTGAGAGTGGGAAGACAAAATTGAGCCCTACCCTGGGACAAGAGAAGAGGAAATGGGCAGTGGTGGCCCGAAGTAGGATATATCACATCCATCAATATCTATTTTAGGATGTAGGGTACATCTATACATATAACATTAGAAAAGGGAGAGGAGGGCGGAGGAATCACGTGCCAAGGATGGAGGGGCTTTAGGTTCCTCAAATCTTCGCCACCTTTTGAAGGGAGGAAATAGACGTCATTTTGACGCTAAGTGCACGCATCCTGCGCCCGCGCCATCATCCTTTCAAGACACATCCCGCAAAATTGCTGGATAACCTCGTCTCACACGGCCCAGTTAATCTTCCCAACAATGGAGGCAGAAAGGTGCAACGCCGGACGAACAACATGCATTATAATTTCTATAAACCCACGTCGCTAAACCAATTTGCATTAAAGGACATCAGCATCCTCCAGTCTCTTTCGAAGCAGCCATGGTAGAGACGCGTTCCATCAAAGTACACCCGAAAATTCTCCCTCTAGCGGCAGATGGTTAAAATGACTCTCCTCAGCAAACTTTTAATGGGAGCCAACTGATATCTTCCTTCACATCCAAAAACTGTCGGGTGTTAAAAGATCCCAGTAGCCTTCTGATAGAGTAAGCCCTAATTAGCCTGACTATTGATTAGACCTGCTTAGATTCCTAACAGGAAAGAAGTGGAGGGCACTAAAACAGGCAAAGGCAGAGTTAAGTTTTCTAGATTTTTATTACAATTTTTACTTCCACTACAACATTCTGCCAGAGCAGATTTAGCTCATGAATTATCAAGATGCAGTAACAAAATCACAATAGCCCAAGGAAGGCAAGCAAAAATGGGAGAGGCTACTGCTAAACAAACTTGGCAAGATTCATAGTACTTGTGATTCTGGTTTTGCTTCTTAAAATCTGAGCAATTACCATTAAATTAGAACTCTTCTAACGTAATCTTTTGCTCTCATAATAGTCAATCTTTGAAAAGCTCAATAGTACGATCATACTCCCATTATTGGTCAAAAGCAGCTGCCATTGAGATTCTAATGTTAAACACCATATACAGCAGTAAAAATCAATAGCCATACTGCAGAACTGTGATTTACTACCGTATTGTCCACAATGGGTAAGGTTTCTTATTCTCCAATTGTTCTTAAACTAACCCTTTGAGGAAACTTCCTTAAAAAAATCTGGCCAGTACTCCTTCCCAATTCCATCCTGCAATATAGTTTTCCTATATTAAGAGTATTATATTCCAACCCTAATTAAACTTATGAATGCTGAACTGCTTTTACGCCTATCTTGTACTGTGGTAGCTTATGATAAAACAGAACATGAAAGGTTCGTGGAGTTACTTAATATTCTTAATGGCAAGCATCAGCTGGCAGAAAATAGGAAAATGACTTTTCTTTCAGTTTCAGGAAGCCACTCTTAACAAAATTGATGGACAAGTCTGTCCAGTTGTAAAACAACTCATTGTGTTTATTCTGGTATGTTTCGTTTTATTTCACTTCTCTCCCTGCTTCATCCCAATGCTTGTGAACCCCCTAGGACAAGGACTTTTATCTCTTAATTTTATAAAGTACCATATATGGATGTGTATTTGTAAAAATACACTTTTGAAAAATGCATGTATTTCAGTAGCTACACTATTCAAAACTTAAGCAAGTCTTTTCAGTCTTTTTTTTTTTGGTCAATACTTCCTAAGGCTAGGAAAGATCCATGTGAAAGAACTTCTCTCAGTTCAGAGCTCCTGAAAATGTGTTTCTCCATGAATCCTGTCCAATTATCAGTACATACAAAATGAAAGATATTCAACATAGACTACCAAGACAAAGCACAGTGTTCTCCAGAACCACCATTGAGCCTAACCCACATTAGAACAGACCCAGGCATTTTTATCTGCAGAATTCTTCACAGAATTGTCTTGGGGGATTTCTGAACACTGCTAACATTTAAAAGAAGCAAGCTGTAACAAAATCTTTATAATATGAAATTGACATAGATTCCAATAGTAGTGGAAGAATTTTTTCCTATCATGAAAATGGTTATTTTCAATAAGATACTCTTCACCTTTGCTCTAATCTTGATAAACTAGAAGCCCAAATAATTCATCCTTCCTCACAAAATATATGGGAACCACTTTGATCTAGTGGTTAAGGCACTAGCCTAGAAAGCGGGATACTCTGAGTTCTAGTCCTGCCTCAGCCATGGAAACTACCATGATATAGGGCCTGCTGCTTTAGTTAAAATAGGAGGAAGGTGTGTTGGATATGTCCGGCACCTTGAGTTATTCATAAATTAAGATGGGATGTAAATAGATAAAAATCTTCAGATATTGCAGCCAATAATACACAACTGAGCCCCACAAAGGCTGTAAACAAGTTTGCTTACGTTGCATAAATAATATTCTACATTACTTTTTCTGAACTTTTAACAAAATAATCTGATGTCTTAACTACTGAATCAAGACTTTTAAATACAGGATTTAAATCTGGGGAAAGGGCTCATTATAGTTATTTATGGAAACAGGAAAAAATAAAACAGGTGATATAGGAAAAATGGGGAAGTTGGGCAAGATTTCCTGAAAAAGAGCCAATATTAAATTTAGCCCTCTTTCTATATACACCTCAGTTGTACTTCAAATACAAGCATCAATAGAAGAGAGTATTTGTAGCTAAGGGTTGAATTATTTTCAGGCTAAAGATGTTATCTAGTTTAACAATGAACCGTCTGCTAGGAAACATGTTCAGAGAGCACCAAGGACCCCACAGTACAACCATCTTTTTTCTCTATTAATTTCTGCATTTGTGTTGAAGGAGACACGTACCATACACATAGACTTGTTCTTCAAAAGCAAATGTGAAGCTTACCAGATGGTAAATTCCAGATGACTTATAAGTAACCAGCAAATGAAATATACACTGCTCAAAAAAAATAAAGGGAACACAAAAATAAGACATCCTAGATCTGAATGAATGAAATATCCTTATTAAATACTTTGTTCATTACATAGATGAATGTGCTGACAACAAAATCACAAAAAAATTATCAATGGAAATCAAATTTAGCAACCCATGGAGGTCTGGATTTGGAGTTACACTCAAAATTAAAGTAGAAAAAATCACTACAGGCTGATCCAACTTCGATGTAATGTCCTTAAAACAAGTCAAAATGAGGCTCAGTAGTGTGTGTGGCCTCCACGTGCCTGTATGACCTCCCTACAACGCCTAGGCATTCTCCTGATGAGGTGGTGGATGGTCTCCTGAGGGATCTCCTCCCACACCTGGACTAAAGCATCCCCCAACTCCTGGACAGTCTGTGGTGCAACGTGGCATTGGTAGATGGAGTGAGATATGATATCCCAGATGTGCTCAATTGGATTCAGGTCTGGGGAACGGGCGGGCCAGTCCATAGCATCAATGCCTTCGTCTTGCAGGAACTGCTGACACACTCCAGCCACATGAGGTCTAGCATTGTCTTGCATTAGGAGGAACCCAGGGCCAACCACACCAGCATATGGTCTCACAAGGGGTCTGAGGATCTCATCTCGGTACCTAATGGCAGTCAAGCTACCTCTGGCAAGCACATGGAGGGCTGTGCAGCCCCCTAAAGAAATTCCACCCCACACCATTACTGACCCACTGCCAAACCGGTCATGCTGGAGGATGTTGCAGGCAGCAGAACGTTCTCCACGGCGTCTCCAGACCCTGTCACGTCTGTCACATGTGCTCAGTGTGAACCTGCTTTCATCTGTGAAGAACACAGGGTGCCAGTGGCGAATTTGCCAATCTTGGTGTTCTCTGGCAAATGCCAAATGTCCTGCATGGTGTTGGGCTGTAAGCACAACCCCCACCTGTGGATGTCGGGCCCTCATACCACCCTCATGGAGTCTGTTTCTGACCATTTGAGCAGCCACATGCACATTTGTGGCCCGCTGGAGGCCATTTCGCAGGGTTCTGGCAGTGCTCCTCCTGTCCCTCCTTGCACAAAGGCAGAGGTAGCGGTCCTGATGGTGGGTTGTTGCCCTCCTACAGCCTCCTCCACATCTCCTGATGTACTGGCCTATCTCCTGGTAGCGCCTCCATGCTCTGGACACTACAGACAGACACAGCAAACCTTCTTGCCACAGCTTGCGTTGATGTGCCATCCTGGATGAGCTGCACTACTGAGTCATTTGTGTGGGTTGTAGACTCTGTCTTATGCTACCACTAGAGTGAAAGCACCAGCAGCATT